TAAACTCGTGCACCTTAATTTTCTTAAATATTTCATCTTTCTTTGATAACGCTAGCTTTGTTAAATTTGCATGTTTCGCATAGGATAATAATTTCGTCAAAATCAATTTAAACTCTGATAAAGATCCATTACTAAATCCTACATGCACTATGTCTTTTACTGCATATATTTTCTTGTCTTCGGCCTGATTTTTCTCTAGTTGCAACTTTTTTATATTCCTTGTATCTGTAATTGATATGCACTCCCAAATGTGAAGGTGATCAATCTTCACTGGCGGCATTTCTGTCGACTTTTCACTAGTTTCACTACTATCTTTTCGTATTTTATTCTTTATTGCTCTAGTCATTATATTTATATCCTTCGTAGGTACCATTTCTTTCAATTCTTCTGAGCTGAATCTTATCCTAGATAATGCGTCTGCATTAGTATTCATTTTGCCTTGTTTGAATACTATATCGAAAGCATAATCCATTAAATCTACTCTTAATCTGGTTAACTTAGATGATGGGTTCTTATGTGTAAATAAACTAACTAAAGGTCTATGATCTGTGTATACTATAAATCTTCTTCCATATAAATAAGGTCTAAAATAATTAATACCCCAATGTATTCCTAAAAGTTCCTTTTCTATTACTGCTGTATTTAGCTCATGCCTGTTGAGCGACTTGCTCGCATAGGCGATTGGTTTATCTTTGCCTATTTCTCCTTGCGACAAAATTGCTCCTAAAGCATTATTTGATGTGTCAGTTGTCAGTATGATGGTTTTAAAAAATCTGGGTAACTTAAAATCGGCGGTGTCATTAAATTCTCTTTTAAATTTTGAAATGCAACCTCACAACTGTCTGTCCAGCTGAAAATGTGATTCTTTTTTAATTTTTGGTTTAATGGTCTAGCTATTTCCGCAAAATTTGGGATGAATCGTCTATAATAGTTGCAAAATGCTACAAACCTACGTACTTCATCAGCATTTTCTAGTGTTGGATATTCTTTTATAACCTTATACTTGCTTGGATCCGTGGTCACTCCATTGGCTGTTATTAAGTGACCTAGGTAGACTACTTCCGGTCGCAAAAAATTACATTTACTAGGGTTAAGCTTCAAATTGTATTTGCGCAATCTTTTGAAAACTTGCACTAAATTTATATTGTGCTCTTTAAGACTTGCACCGAAAATAAAGATATCATCACATACAAGAATGCTGATGTTTGCAATCCACTCAATGCAATTGATAACATCCTTTGGAAGCTATTTGTTGAAATTTTTAAGCCAAATGGTAAACGCTTGAAATGGCAATGACCATTCTCTGTTGAGAAAGCTGTTAACGGTCTCGATTTCGAATGCAATGGAATCTGGTGAAAAGAACTTGTCATATCTAGTGTGGAAAAATATCTTGCTTTTCCAAGCTTGTCAAGTACATCTTCAAGTCTTGGCAAGGGAAATTTGTCATCCACAATCTTTTTGTTAAGTGACCTAAAGTCTACTACTAATCTCCACTTTTTCAAATCCCCAGTGCTTTTTTTTTGCACAATCAATAGTGGTGAATTATATGGACTGACGGATGGCTCAATAATATCGCCGTCAAGCAAATCTTGAACCTGCTTATTAATCTCCTGAAAATTAGTGTGCGGCAACCTATAATTTTTTATATATACTGGTGATTTATCAGCTGTTGTTATCTTCTGCTCATAAAAATTATTTTTTGTAAATTTTTCTCCATCTAAATGAAAGATGTCTTGGAATTCTTTACAAATCCTTGAAACCTCCATTGTTGCTTCTTCGTCTAAATTGTCAAATTGTATCTCTTCTTTAACCCTTTTAAATCTGTCTTCATCCACTAAATTCCTACAATGTAGTATATCATAACACCTTATTGGTTCAACACCCAAAGCTATACGTTCTAGCATCACTTCTTTATCTGAAGTATTTAACAATTTCACGTGTTTATACCCATCTGCTGGAATTATTGTGGTTGCTACAAAAACTCCTTTTCTAAGTTCTTTACCTAATACTACACAGTCTTCTTCTATAGCAATTTCTATGGGCGCTATTACTTCTGAACGGGCTGGTATTCTTACATTCATAACTGTTTTTAATTTCATGTTCATGGGCAATATAATATCTTCCTCTTCTACTGTTGTTGTTAGTGTATATGTTTCATAGTCTATCTTTCAGTTGTACTTACTTAAAAAGTCTCTTCCTAATATCCCATCGACAACTAAATTTATATTCTCATTAATAACATGAAATTTATGTTCAACCACTTTATTTTCTAATAGTAACTTAATGTTCACTGTGCCCATGGAACTTGTTGTATTATTCGTTATTCCATTGAACTCACAAAATTCCTCACTGTTTATTTTATTTAAAAATCTTGCATTATACTTCACTAATGATGCATCTGCTCCAGTGTCCACTAAAAACATTAGTCCTGAATCATCGTGATTGGGGCCATCTAACTTAATAGTAGCAACTCCGTTTCCCGAGTTACCTTGCCGGTTTCCATTATTACTATAACCACCTCTGCTTGTGCTACAGTTATGTCTTCCACCATTATTGTTATGATCGCTTTGACCATGGGTAGTGTATCCTCTGCCGTTATTCCTTGCATTATTGCTGCTTAGGCGCCTTCCGTAACCTGTGCTACTATAATTTTCACTGTTTCGACCTCTGAACTGCCTATATCGATTGGAACTTCCTCTTGTTCTATTCATAAACATTACGTTATTATTACCTGCAGCATGTGAGCTTTGCACACTTGCTTCTGCCGCTAGTTGAATTGCTTCATTCAGTTTACTAGGTCTGGCGGCTAGGATTATGGATTTATAAGGATTATTTAGTCCACTTTTAAATGCACCTAAAGCAATTTGCTCATTAAGCTTCACTATTATCTCTCTATTCTGTTCACCTTGTTCTGCAATCTGTATGTCATTCATTGAAGCCACGAAGTTCTCTATTTTACTAGCGAAAGCATTAACACTTAAATTTCCTTGCTGTGCTCGTGTTATTTCATGATGCAATTGTAGGGCGTTTTTATTGGATTTATAAATCTTTTGTAAAGTCTGTGCTAAATCTGTCAGTGTTGTGGGTCTATCTTCAGTTAATAACCTGTTCTTCACTT